AACACTTTGAGAAAAGAAGGTATTTCCATAACATGGCAATCCTGTTGCAGGAAGTCAAGATTGTTTCGAAGGAAATGGCCATACATATAGAGGAAATGTTAGTGGAACAGTGCTCCAGAAAACTTGCCTTCAATGGAATTCTCACCATCTTTTAGATAATAGTTACAATGCTTTTATGGAAGATGCCAACTTTTACGATCTTGGTGACCATAACTACTGCAGGTAATTTTCTGTTCAAGCATACAGGAAGATCTCCTTCCTACTTTCCATAAATAACACTGGCATTCAGGCAGATTTGCTTTTCCTCACCATCCCCCATTCCATATCAAGTATGTTTGTGCATGTGTGATATATCTGTGATAAATATGTCAGTCTAATAAATCAAGTCCTGTTCCCAGTAGTAGAAAGAGCTATTTTGGACACATTCACAACTGTATCTTCTTGACTGCTTTAGCTGTGTATTTCATGCTTTAACAGGGAACTGGACACAATAACTTGTAGTTCTGCCTAGCTCCACAGTTCTATGATTCTCTTTGTAGTATAAATACTAATAATTGGTATTAGATTAGTGGAATCGAATACCCCACATCTCAAATAATGAAAATGTTCTTTGTTGTAATGACTGGTAGCGTATATGCATGTCGGACATGTCATCTCCCTCAACATAAATTGATAATATTATGGCATGTCAATTATATAAAAACAATGGCCATATATAACATAACATATAAGAATGCATAGCAGTCCCTTGGGTATAGTTACTGCATTCCATCCCTTGTGCATCAGGATGAACTTAATTATATAGAGACAAGTTTTGTTGCGCAATCCACACAAAACTAGACATACAATGTAGGCACCCTGCAATATCAGCACCTGAACAATTCAAAACATTCTCCCTGAAACTGAGTCATTTGCCACATGCAAATTGTTTTCTGAGGTCTCCATATGTCAGAAGTGACTTGACAGCACATAATATAATAACCATAGGCTGAGACAAACGTTCTAGCGCTCTCCCTCTTCTCCTCTGTTTTCATTTTTATTCCTTTTCTACACATGGACAGCAGTGTGTCAATAGGAGCTAAATTTCCATTGTTCTGACTTAAGTGGAATGTCTCCTTGAATAACACATACATCACTATCCATTTGTAAAAGAACAGTAAATCTGAGAGCTGGAGTAATCCCCTGAATAGCATGTACAAACAGTTTGTTGTTAATGACTGAATCAAACTATACCAAAGCCAAAAAAAAAAATTAAAAAAATTCCCGTTGTTTTTGGTGAACCATGATGTCAAGAAGCAGCAGCAACCATGCCTCTACTTGGGTGTAAGAGAATATGGGATTTTGGAAATCTTTGTGAATTCAGGAAATATATGACATGTATGTCAAATGTAAAACACAATCTGAAACTTAATCTTAACCCACTGGTAAACCTCAGTGTATTGGAGTTCTCATGGGTCAGAGAATACCCCACATCTCAAATAAATCCATGTTTTTTATCTTGATGGATGAAGATGAAGAACGGTCTTTAAAAGTTCTTCAGTGTGAGCATTGTTCTTTTTTTTTTAACTCTCTTTCAAGTTCTTCAATTATCTTCAAGGATATGAATAAATAAATGCATTGGTTGCTTTTTTTAAAAAAATGTTATATCACAACTCATTCGTGATTGGTGAATTTTGAAATCTTCCTTCAGGAATCCAGATGGTGATGAGAAGCCCTGGTGTTTTGTCAAAGTGAATAACAAACTGAAATGGGACTTCTGCGATGTTTCCCCATGCCCAGCATCAGGTAAAGTGGATATGGAGCATATTAAAGTTGAAAAATGCAGCAGTAATTCAGATTGGCAGCCACTGTCAATTTGATACAGCCTACAAAGTTATACTGACTCCAGTATGATTTAATTTTTTAAAAAGTGTTCTTGAAACTCTGCCCAAGAGTTTAGCGATATTACAGAATCTGTTATTTGTAACACACTGAGAAGTGTATGCCAAACAAATAACAGATCTTGGGATATCTATTGTCAGGGGACATCAGAGAGAATGAAATATGAAACAGTACAGCAGAAAACAAACCATTTCCAGAGTAAAAGAATAATATTCTACACAAGTCTTTCAGGAATTCTGTTTTGTCACTGAGAGAATCAGCTTTGATGCTGTGAAGTTCAATTTCTGTAGAAAGCTGTTTCAGAGTTGGAAAGTATCAAAAAAACTTAGAAGGAGATATGGATTCCATCTGAACCCTGTTGACCAGGACAGCAGAATTTGGTCACTTCTCCTGTATTTTCTGTTTGAAGTAAAGCACATTGGGGCATATGACGAGTAAAGGGACAGTGGAATGAAAGATTGACAGGTCGCTTGGGGCATCTTTTTCATTCTTATCTTTCCTAAGTGATCATTTGTGATGCAGTTTGCAAGTCACCTCTCTTTTCTAAAGAGATGTTACCAGGCATGGCTACCAGTGCAGCCACATGAATAAAAGCCTGGTGCAGGGGATCCTGGAACCAAATCTAGGATTTTTTCCCCGTCATGCACATGTTTGAATGGATTTCCTGAAGCAAAAGATATAAGCACTCTGTGTCTATCTATCTACAAGTGTCCAAAGTAGTTGTTCCTGCCTAATAGACATAAACTCACAGTGGAGACAGGGGTAACCTCCCATTTAGACAACTGCAGTGCATTCTATGTGAGGCTAGGCTTGACAATGACACAGATGTTTCCGCATGTGCTGTCAAGTCACTTCTGACTTAAAGCAACCTTATGTGACCTCCAGAAAGACCTACCAATAAAAGTTCCTGCAAACTGTTCATGCCTGTTGAGGTAAAGGCCATGGCTTCCTTTAGTGATCCAATCAATCTTGTGCTCAGTCTTCCTCTTTCCCAGAATTTTTTTTGGTTTTTTTTTCCCCAGTAAATCTTGTCTTCATGACTTGTCTTGCTAGCTGTTACGATGCCTTGCTTTGATGCTGCTGTAGTAATACTTAAGTCCTGCAACCAGGCTCAAAAGGCCTAAAACCAATTTTCTGCTTATGCTCTATCACCAATTCTTTGGAACTCCCCCTCTCCTTCTCCTTGCAGCCTTCTTGGGTGCCTGAAAGTTGGTCTTTGGAGGGTTTTCTAGCACTTGAGAGCAGATTCTGAGGTTGCGCAGGGGGCTGTAGTGCGCAGGGGCATAGTGTTCCTCCTGGATGCTGTGACAGAAGATCTGTTAGCAGAGCCATGCCTATGGAACCTAGTCTATTGTGTGGAAGCCTTTTTTTAAAAAGAAAATTAATTCAAACCAGCTTTTCTAGTCAATTATTTCCCTGCTTGTCTAAGCTTTGATTTATGTTTCTGCTGCATTGATTTGTGATGCAGCATTCTTCAGTGCACAGCTTACTATTCTTTAGAAGTTCCAGGTGCCTCTTTCTGTGTGTAGCTGTACTGTTCCTTCCCTTTTAAAAAATAATTTGAAATGAAAAAAAAGGAGAAAAAGAGGAATGGAGGAAAGTTGTTGTTATCGGTTAGTCTGAATCAGATTAGAGATCAGAATGACTTAATCTGGTTGTCTCCTTGGCATTCCAGCACAGTCACCTAGGAATAGAGCTGTCACTACCTATAATCATGCAGAGAATGATGCGCGCAGTACCTGTGGAAAACCAGAGATAGTAGGACCATACAAGAGGATCTATGGTGGTGCCAAAACAGTCCCTGGCAAGCATCCCTGGCAAGCTTCTGTGCAGAGGAAGTTTTCAATGGGTCTCTTTTTGTCAGAAGGACACTACTGTGGAGGAGTACTGATCGAGCCATGCTGGGTTCTTACTGCTGCGCATTGTATTATGTAAGAATTGTCATTGTATCTAGATAATTTTTTGTTCCAAGTGGCACATTAGATGAAGTTTGCCTTCCACAAACCACAGATGTCAAAATAAGTAGCTGGTGTGCCTCACCTTGTAGCCTTGCTGTACATGAGAATTTTTTTTTGTCTCATATGTTGTCATCATCAACATCTTAGAAATGCAGAACTGGAAGGGACCTTATGGATCATGGAGTCCATGCCCTGTCAAGGAAGCACAGTAGGGAATCAACTCTCACTGGCTCCACCTAACCCATTTAGCTAAGAATGTGTACATTCCGTATGAATAAGGATAACATGGAGGTGTTCCATTTGGCCAGATACCACCCTACCTCTGGCAGATACATCAGTGCAGTATCAGAGTATATCTCCATATCTTTGAGCCTATTGGCTATTTAAGACATTGAAAATCCCAGGTTGGTGCCAAAGCTTTCAGGTGTAATATTAGTGGCATGGGAATCTGTTGGTTCAACTGCAATGACTTAAAAATTAATTCTTACACATATTTCTACAGTATGTGCCCTATAAGGTGCAATGTGCAGTAACTGATTACATCCTTCTACATGTCCTGCCATTTTAGGTAAGATTACTTCAGCAGTATAAAATGTATACATCTTGCAGAAGGTAAACAATTATTCAATGTGCATCAGGGCCAGCTCTACTGATATATATAGAGTGAGAACTCAGGGAAGAGATGCTGGAAATGGAGAAGTGTATGTGTGCAGAGCCTTGCACCCTATAATCTAGCCTGCTGACCTTAGGTATCATGGAGGATGCTGTCCCATTAGAAGTACTGAAGTGAGATTCAACTGCCCATCTGGTCTGTTTTACAATGGGAAGGAAGCTTTGCCTGGTCTATCACAAACAGAAAAAGGTCTCAAAAGAGCCGTGCCTTTTAGATTATATTGTTTTACAATTTAGGCGTCTGTAGAGTTTTGCACTTGGGTACCATCTGCTTCGAATTTTCATAACTGAGGATGATAGGTTGCATTGTCTTCCAAACTTGTTAAGGCAATAGAAATGTTTTCCATGCGGATCAGTACCGGCACAGGGAGTGAACCACATTACCTTTCAATTCTCTTGTAGATCTGTAATTTTGACTCACTGTTCTTTTGGTGGGTGGGTGTTTCTCCTTCATAGAACAGAAGCACGGACTCTCCGAGTGTCTCTTGGAAAACAAGACCTCTGTAGGAAAGAGCACCACGAACAAATGTTTGATGTAGAAAAGATCATTAAACATGGACACTACACAGAACGGGAAAACATCCCATACAATGACATTGGCAAGTTCCCAGTTTCATTTGCTTACATTGCTTACAATCCTGCACACAATTGCCAGTGAGGACAAAAGAAAAAAAAACAGTAAGCTTTTGCTTGAGAACATTGGTGCTGCTAAATATGAAGAAGAAAATATTGTTCCTGAGTCAGGCAGGTTAGGAAGAAATAATTCAGTTAAGGCTGCACCAAATTGCAGTATTGCAAGAGGTTGTTCATGTAGGTGTGCAAGAGGTACTGCACAACTGGATGCCCACCTGCTTATGAAAGTATATTAGATACCATTACTGGGTTAACTATGGAAATGTACAATGATGAGGCTTGTGCAAGTACAATGACTAATTTGGATACAAGTCTCCATCTTTTGCACCCCAAGATGACACTAAGTGAGCAAACATTACCAAAATAAAGGGTTATGTTGCACATTTCCTTTCCAATTGCCCACTTCTCTGTTTCATCCTCCTCCCTCTGCCTTTCATAGAAAAGCATTAATGAGGAGAAAGCATCATGGAATTGTCCTTCATGTGTCATTTATTGATTGACCCTGAGAAAGTAATGGAAAAATCAAAACTGACCCATTAAGGAGAAGCAAAGGCCTCACAAGCAGAATGGTTCAAATAGCAAAGCTTAAGTGATTGTACTTGTTGCTTCCTTGATATAATTCAGAAGGCGAATAACATCTATAGTATCCCACAATACTGTCTTCCATTTTGCTTGCAGCACTGTTGAAGCTGAAACCAACTGGTGGCCATTGTGCAGTGGAAACAAAATATGTGAAACCAGTCTGCTTACCCAATTCACCATTTCCTGATGGCACAGAATGCTACGTATCAGGTTGGGGTGAGACAGAAATAGGTGAGCCGCTATTGAGTTGTGCATGAAATATTATAGAAAACAGTGGCAGGAGCTGTGTAAATCTTATTATTGAAATACTTCTATTTTGCTGTACGTCCAAAGCTCTCAGGGCAGCATGCAATACATAAGAAGAGATTTAAGATACTTTTAAAGCAATGTAAGTCAGTTAAACATAATCAAACAAACACAATTCTGACAATCACATAGCTCAAAACCAAGCATGATCACTTAGCTTCCAAGGATTGAATGAATAGTCAATTTTATTCTGGTGGCAAAATGTCAGTGCCAGTTGGGCCTCCAGAGAGAAGACATCATCCAAACAAGGCACTGAAGCCCGGAAGGCCTTCCCCTGTATCTCGATGTCATGTATTCCTGTCAACACCAGAACCCAGAAAATGGCCCGCTCAGCTATTCCTAATGCTCAAGAAGGTGTATATAGGAAGAGGCAATATGTCTTGTGTACTGAAGCCTCCCATTCCCAGTTTTCCCTTTGGTGACAATTAGGTAACAATTCCTCTGCTCCTGTAGATAGGTAGGCATCTCTATTGCTGCTTGGTTGAACTGTCGTTGCTGCACACCAGACATGTTATTTTTGGCAAGGCCCAGTCAATGCTGAGATGATCAACCTGAGGTCTAACCTTTTTGATGTGTGTGCAATGTGACCATCTTTGTGCCCTTTAATCTGACCTATTTGCTTCAGGTGCAAAAAAGGACATTGTCCTTTTGCCAGTGCATCCTATGGAGATTTTTAATGTGGCTACATTTGTCTAAAGCCCTATTCCTAGTCCTGCTCAGTTGTGCTATTAATATGTACAGTATGATTGACACACAGTAAGGGGAATGTGCTAGCCCTGTTCCATCCACTGTCATTTTCAAGACAGGAAAGTGCTGGTCTGAAAAGTGAGAGGGTGCTATATGTGAGTCTAAAACCCTATTCCTAGTCCTACTTAGTTGTGCTATTAATATGTATGATTGACACACAATAAGGGGAATGTGCTAGCCCTGTTCCCTCCACTGTCATTTTCAAGACAGGAAAGTGCTGTCTAAAGCCCTATTCCTAGTCCTGCTCAGTTGTGCTATTAATATGTACAGTATGATTGACACACAGTAAGGGGAATGTGCTAGCCCTGTTCCATCCACTGTCATTTTCAAGACAGGAAAGTGCTGGTCTGAAAAGTGGGAGGTGCTATATGTGAAAAGCACTTCTATATGATATAGAACCCCACAATAGGCTCCTGATTCAAGTAGAAAAGTCACTCAGATATAACTGCCTTCACATTTTCAAACTATTGCTTTCACGTGTTGAACATGGTGATTAGAGATGGGCATGAACCCTTGGTTCAGTAATTCATCCCAGTTCATTGAGTGCCTCATTTGGTATTTGGCAGTTCTGCCCCCTGCCCCCTCCAGCAGGTGCCCACTCAGAGGCACCACCTGGAGGAGGTGGGGCGGGGTGCCTGTCAGAGGGGGCAGGGCACCAAACTGCAGAACATCCATTGTGGCACTCTACAAACCAGGTCGAATCACCAAAACTCCAGGGCCCATCTCTAGTGGGGATGGAAAAAGGTGATGCTAACATACTCTCCCTCATGACATGTGGATTGCATATGGTTTCAGCACAATTGAATATGGCTTGTGTTGCACATACGTGCATTCATTCAGCATGAGCTGCTTACACTTGTTGGCTGAGACAAGTTGGCTGAGTGTCCAAAGATCCTTCACAGATGTCTATACTCAGAACACATCTGAATTCGTATGTGTGCTCGGTGGGGCATATAGACATTTCAGTTCCAAATTCCTGCCTGTAGATAACATACCTAATGTTACAGCTTTTATTGGTAAGGAAGGACTGTAAGGTTTGGTCAAGGTAGAGGTGTAAGTGAGGACACAAGCTACTATTCATTACTCCTAGAGAACACATCTGCCAAAGAAGAGAGGCCATAGATTTTAAATTCAGAACCTACCCCATACATTTCAACATGAAGTGATTTCTGAGGGTGAGGGTGGCAAATGGGCTTTGCAAAAAATGTGAAATGTACAACTGTATTTGGAATAAAAATAAGAAGTAATATTTAGACTGAGCTTTCCTGCAAATTCCTTTTTCCCGTTTCTGCCACTTGCCACTCAACATCTTTACTTAATTCAAAGAATCAAAACAGAATGAACGAGTCTATATGCTTTCATTTACCAATTCTGAGCCATAACTTGGAAAGAAATTCAGGAACTGTGACAGTATTTTCCAGCTTATTGGTTTGGATAAGCTTCTGATATGAAGCATCTGGATTTCTGGATGCATATTGAAACTGAACTGCCAAATCTATTCAAGTTCAGCTAAACCTCTGTGACACACCATGAGTTGCTAGGAAGGAAGAAATCACTCTTATGCTTAAAAATAAGATAATGAGAGCTTTCTCATTTAAAAAAAAAACTGCATTTTTTTCACTTTTCAGTTAATGAGTTGCTGTAAAATTGCAGGTGGATGTGTCAATCATGTTCCCCAAAGAACTCTGATGTATTATGAGCAATATAATCCAATATGAAGTGTACACATCTTTTGATATAATTCATATTGAGAGTAACAAGCATCTGGTTTGCAGATTTCGTAGATTATGTGCTGATGATGTGAGTTAATAAAACATCATTCTTCCATGACCCAGTCACCTTTTAAAACTAGCACATTTACAGTCCAGTGCAGTCCCAAAAGTGACTTTCTGATGTGTATTGATGCTGGAATGGCTCTGCATATTGAAGTATTTTGTTTGTATCCTGGCCTTTTCAGCTCAGGGAGTAGTTGCTTAGCCTCACAATAAAGATCTGAGTTAGTTTAGGCCTAGAATTCATACTATATCCATGACTTCTCAGTTAATTACAGTGAGACCTGAACCTGTGTTTCATGCAGCAGAGCCAAACAATCCCACTACATGCCACTGGCTGCTTGATGTCACAAAGGCCCTGGTCAACCAACAGGAACAAGGAAATGGTAAAAAAAAATCCATTATATGATTGAAGGGAGAGTTCCACCTATGGAGGACCCCTTCTGCTCACAGGGAACTCCTTCCATGGAGACAAACACTTTAGGGTCCAGCCAAGATCCTTTACATCACGGGTCTTATCTTGGATCAAAGGGCAGTCAAAGTGTGGCATTGCTTGAGTAGTTTCAGAGTACAGTGGTGCCTCGCTTAACGAGCGCACCGTTTAACGAAGAATCCGTATAGCGATCCCTTTTTGGGGATCGCTATACGGATCTGCCCCAATCGCCGCACTTGCTTTGCGACGATTGGGGCATCCGGCGGCCATTTTGGAGCTGCTGAACAGCTGATTTTTGGGTGTCGCAAAGCGAAGATCGGTAAGCGAAACGCTTACCGATCTTTGCTATGCAAGTTTCGCCCATTGGGCCGACCCTATGCCTCCGCATTAGCGATCCCAGAAAAGGGATCGCTATGCGGATTCGTCGCTATATGAGGCGCTCGTTAAGCGAGGCACCACTGTA